CGCACTGCTGGGAGAGAGACTGTGAGAGACTGTTGGCTGAGGGATGGTGGGCTGGGAGAGAGACTGAGCGTTCTTCCTGAACTTGAATTACTGTAGTCTGGTGCTTCCCTAACATACCTCATAATTCTGTGAGTTCTGTGTGGCCACTGCAGCGAGTTATCGAATCCAGGAGAGAGGTGGTGGTGCTTTGGGAGGAACGGTTGGAGAAAGGGCTGGAGGGAGGCAGCATGTCTGGCCTTGCAATAATAGGCCTTGGGCTATTGATAGTGATTCTGCCTTCCTCTTGTGGGATTAGAGGAGGTCAGAACATGTGGCCTCCTTGTCCTTTTTGCAAGTATGTACCTTCCTGATATTATTGTTCACCTCATAGGTTTTCTTAACTTTTTTATTCAGAAGATTTCCTCAGATAAAATCAACCTTCTGCTTCCTCTTAAATCTTTTCCTTTTCCTTTTGAGAAATAATATTAATTCACGTTTAAAATATCCTACAAATCTGAAGTCTGAGTATTGTAGAAATTCAGAAAAGAAGAAATATAATAACTGGGTTTTTCATAATGTTTTAGCATGATGTCTTTGTAGAACAGTGAGAAAATTGATTTTGACTAGATAGGCCATATTAGAAAGAATATAAAATATGAGTAGGACCAGAACCTTGAAAAAAATACATAGTTTTGATTTAAAGCAAAATACATAGAGCTTCCATTGAGATTTTGTATATAACGGAATTATTCATTAAAAGCAATATACTAAGGAGCGTGGGTTATAGTGATAAGAGCCTGGAGTCAGCCTAGCTGTGGGATGGTTTTCTGTAATCTAAGCAACAAGGCTTTATGTCATGATAGTTTAAGGTGCTATCACTGGAGTTAGACTACCTGGAGGGTCGAATCCATCTGATACTACCACTTATTATTTATGTAGTCTTGGCAAGGTAGCAAAGGATCAGTTTCCTTTTTTATAAAATGCGGACCATAATACCTGTTTCATAGTGCTCTTGTAAGTGTTAAATGAGACAGGCACTATGAAGCAATTGCCAGAGTGCCTAGAAGTTAGAAAGCATTTGATAAATGGTACCTGTTATGAGGACTTAAAGCAGTGTAGCTGTAATGAGATCAAGAAGAAAGAAAGAACAAGGTATTTTTGAAGAAAGAGTTTAGAGGATTTAATGATTGAATAGAGGGACTGAAGGAAAGATACACATTAGAAAGTATTCGTGTTTAAATCATTAAGTTGCGAAGAATAGTGCTATTGGCAAAAAAATAGGGAGATTCTTGTGGAAGTTCAGTTAGATGTATAGTAGACCTGCTGATTCTTTTCTCCATATTATTTAACTTCTCTTTCATATTTTCTGTTGTCTTTATGTGCTACATTTTAAGTAATTTATTTTATTCTTTCGTTCTACTGATTTTCTCTTTAGTTGTGCTTAATTGCTATCTGACGTATTTATTTAACTTTTTAAATTGTAAAATATGCTATATGTACAAAATAATTTATGCTATATATGCACAGTTTACATAATAATAAAACATTTGTGTATGTATCCCCAGTTAATTACATAATCCATTGAATTTTTAATTGGTTATATTTTTTATTTCTATAAATTCTGTATGGTTTTTTTCCCAGAGTTGCTTAAGTTTTTTTTTTTTCTTTAAACAATATAAATTTATTATCTTCTAATCTCGAAGGTCAGAAATTTAAAATGGGTTTTACAGGGCTAGCATCAAGGCATTAACAGAGATGCGTTCCTTATGGAAGCTCAGGGGAAAGTCTGTTTCCTTGTCTTTTCAAGCTTCCAGAGACTGTCTACGTTCCTTTGCTCATGGCACCTTCCTTTATCTTCAAAACTGGCAGTGCAGCATCTTCAGATTTCTCTCTGACTCACTACTTCGGTCATCATATCTCCTTTCCTGACTCACACTTCGAATCCTCCTCACTTATTTAAAAAATTGATTGTGGTGAAAAAATATATAAGAAGACATTTGCCACTTTTTTTTACATGTACAATTTAGTAACATTGGTTACATTCATCATGATAAGCAGATCACCACTATTCGTTTCCATGATTCCACCATCATTAACAGAAACTCAGATCTCCGTCCCACCCCTGGTAACCACTAATACCCTATACGTTTGCTTATTTCGTACAAGAAGATCATACAGTATTTGTCCTTTTGTTACTGACTTTACTCAGCACAATGAGGTTTCTTTTATGTTTTATTTATTTTCATTATGCTTTTTAAATTATGAAATATGTAGGGGATAATATAATGAATGGGAGCTCTGGTGGCGTAGTACCTAAGGCATTTGACTGCTAACCAGAAGGCTGGCGGTTCAAACCCACCAGCCACTCCTCGGAAGGAAGATGGGGCAATCTACTCCTGTAGTGATACTGCCTTGGAAACCCAAGG